TACTATTGGTTAATCTGCAATCATTTGATGCCCGACTTAATCACAAGTATTAACAAGTATTTGACTGTCAAATTTTTATTTGGTTGTGCCGAGCACTATTTGCATCTATATCTCCTCATGGGGAGGTGCTACAATCTTGAGGCTTTCAAAAAGATTAGTACCTATATAAATTAGATTGTGAATTTGGTTTGAAAATTTTATAATTACTAGAAAAAAATTTAGATAAGAGCTAAATTTAAAATGTTTTTTGTTTAAAAAATTAAAAAATTAATTGAATTTCAAAGAAAATTTAATATATTGAACTAAAAATTCTAAAAATTAATATATTATAATTCAATGATCTCTGTAATAGTGACAAAAAATTTGATTTTTAAAGTTTTGAGTTTTATTTTTATCATGTTTGATTTGTCAATACCTGACTCTTTTTGTGTTGCAAAAAGTTTTCACAAATATTTTGTATTTCAACAATTCAAATTTGATGATTTTGATATTTTTAAATTATCTCATTGAGACAATTTGAATAATATCAAAATAATTAAATTTGAATCACTAGATATTAAGATAGTTTTAATAGAAAAAATTTTATTTTGTAATTTTTAAACATAAAAATAAAAATTTAAAACTTAATTTTTTAACAATTATCTCATCAAATTGAGCTAAATTTTTTATTACTACTACAGAAATCATTAAATTTAAATTTATTAATTTTTTCAAATTTTTAGCTTTAAGCCTTAACAATATATTAATTTTTCTTTAAATTTAATTAATTTTTTATTTTTTTAAAAAAAGCAACTAATTTTAGCTCTAATGTAAAATTTTTTTAGCAATTAAAAAATATTCAAAAAATGCACATAATCTAAACTATGTATATACTAAATTTTGTAAAAGTTTTAAGATCATAACACCTCTTTTGAAGAGATAAAGGTGTAAGAAACTTTTGATAGGCACTATACAGTGATAATACAAATCAAAATACAGTTTGAACTCATTATAATCTCAATATATTTACAATCTTACTATAATCACATTATTTTTTTTGGTTTAGCTTTATAAAACATATAAATTTAGACCTTTATTTAGTCACAACCTTTTGTAATCACTAAAATTTTGTTTTCATACCTAGTTGGCAGACTGTATATAAATTTTAAATGCTATTACATTTATGGATTTGCCTAAAATGGACAGTGTAGATCACACCTTGTATGGTATAGAAATGTTGATCACATGATTCTAGATCATTTCATTGCACAAAAATCATGTTGATTGACCAATCAAATTTAACCACAACAATATTTGCTTATTAATTAAAAGAAGTTAGTTTCCATCTACCTTTTTTATAATTGTTTATTCGAGGGATCAAATGGGATCATTTAAAGTAGATATCTTATATTAGTTATTCGTATATCATTTAATATCGAATAAATAAATAAAATATCAAATGATCCCATGGTGATAAAAAATGTTACACGGCCAATCAAATTCACGAAATGATACAGAGATCATTCTAGAATGTGATTTCCTAATTTAGTAAAATCCCTGACTGTATTAAAAAATACAAAAAATTTGATAAATAAGTTAATTTTTAATACATTCAATTATTCAATTTCATTTGATAAATTTCTACCTCTAAAGTAACTTTTCAATAATCTAACCATTAAAATAAAGTTAGAAATAGGTTGGTATATTTATAATAAAGTTTATCATTATAGACTTACCAGAAGGAATATCAACAAACTTAATGGGGTTTCAGTGTTAACTTATTTTGGAAATAGGTGGGAGTTTGGAAAGTCCTATTTGCGTTTTGAAATTTCGAAATCAGAAAATGAAGAAGGAGTTATCCGGAGGTAAAATAAGCTTTTCTGATGATGTATATTATATCTTATTATATAAATAGGCTTGTAAATAAAAATAAATAGGATTTATAGATCGCAGATTACAAAATTAATCCGTCGATAACTTAATTCAAAATCAAAAATCTAATCCTTAAGTTTGAAACCGCTAATGAGTTTCCTTGTCAAGGACAATTCTTATTTAATATTATAAGACACATTTTAATTATTTTTGGGTAATTTTTTAAAACAATACTTTTAATGGCATTTGATATTTTTTGTGTATTAATAATTTTGCTAATGTACATAATTTGAGGAATTGTTGGTAATATTTTAATAATTTTATCAGCGTTTAAGAACTATTTTTTGATTTCGTCTTCTTTATTTGAAGCTAAGTTTTTAAGCCAACAAACTATTTTCTGATAAATATCAATAACTCTAGGCTGTTTTGTGAAACTGAATTCATGCGTTAATTTGCAATTCAATATAACAATCAGGTATTCCAGAAGCAAACTCTGGTCGCAATCCATTGCAAAGCTTTGATGCAAGTTTATTTTAAATTCATAGCTATCAAAAGGTCTTTGACCTGTTGATGATTCTACCATAATAATACCAAATCCATAAATATCTGCTGCTTGTGTAAACTGCTATTTACCCAATAAACTTCAAGTGCAACATAGAGCTTGACTCCTTGAATATCGTCTTTTGAAGTATATTCATCTTTCTTTCTAGACGATCCTAGATCTACAATATAAGATTGTATAATTTCATTGGCGTGTAGGTCTTGCAATATGTTGCCGCTATGAAAATCAGCATTAATATATCCTAAAAATTCGTGAATATTATATAACTCCTCTGAAATATCTATATCTTTTAGTAAATTGTAATTTAGTTTGCCATGTAAGTTTACTTAAATTCTCTCTTAAATATTTATAAAGACACCCATTATTAGTAAATTGGAATACCATTAAATATTCATTTATTTCTGTATTTTGAGTTATCCATATATTGCGAGTTTACCATAATTTAGTTTACATTTAATAAGACCTTTAAACTTAAATTTAAACAATGAATCAGTTCAATAAAATATTATGTAAATTATAAAAGTAATAAATTAACTTACTTCCTTTAAAAAATCAAAATCGTTTTCCTTAGTACTGGTTAATGTCTTGAGTGCAACGATACTAGATGGTTTACGTGCTTTTACATAATTATAATCACTACCATCAACTTTTCGTATGCCATTCAACCAGGCCACTGAATATAATTTTCCTTTCCCAATTTCTTTAACATCTGATAATATATTGAATGGAATCCAATCAATTACATCCTCATATTTGAAGGTTCTAAATTGAAACTCCCTGATGTAATTATCATTATTTAATGCTTTACGATGAATATGAGAATTACTATCATGTATAATAATTTCATCCAAAAGATTAATTTACACCAATGCATCTACCGCAAACAGTAACATTTGCCCGACGCGTTACTTGTTAGCAATTTTTATCATTTAAGTAATACAGATCATCCGTATATTTGTACAACTTGTACAATGTAACATGTCGTACAAGCCATTTTAAATTTGACTCCGAATTTATGCTTTTTTTAATGGCCTATTTGATTTTTTCAACGTTCAAAAAAGAGAAAAATTTAAAAATTCTGACAATTCTGACGGAATATGCAAATTGAAATAGTTATTATGAATAAGTATAAACCATTTATTTATATACAACATAAAAATTTCAAAAGGAAGTTATATCGACTGGTTAGCTAAATTTAGTTTCTAGTTTTGGCGACGATGTCGCACAGCTATCTAATAAACATTTATATACTATTTTATTTAAAAATAAGTAAGTTCACTTATTTAGTATTCCCGTTTATTAATTAATAATATAAAGTTTTATAAATCTAAGCAAGAAATTATTTAATTTTATTTTATTCGTATTAATTTTAAGAAAGTTTTCCTACATTATTGCATCATTTATAACATTTTGACACATAGTGACATTATGGCATAATTGCATTACGGTTCACAATTATGGTACATAAAATACATGCAGTTCATACTGTAATTGCATTAATTAATAATAAAATTGATCCTATCTTCAGCTCTATGTTATATGATTTCATATTTTGCGAAACTATTTGAACTCTTTAAAAAACTGTAGGTTTATTTAAATTAAAAAAAAATAGCAAGAACAAATAGAATTCTGTTTAAATTAACACAAAAAATTAGAAAAGCAATAATCTTATTAAGAAAGTTTTAGAACTTCAAACAACTATTGAATCAAAAAATCGATTTGAGTACTTTTAACGAATTTAATATGTTGAGAATAAAACTATTAAAGTAAATGAATAAAACCTTTACCGATTCGCTATTTAAGATCCAAGAAGAAAACAACAGACAGCATAGTCGGGGTAGTCGGGGTCAAAAACCATACAGTAATCATCACAATATTCAAGACATTCTTCAATAGGTTGTAAATACCCGGTACAATCAAGAGTACATTCCTCCCTGAAATTTTTAAAAACAATTGCATTTTTAGCGTTTGTTGGCTAAATACATATAAATATCATTTTATTACCTCTTTTTCAATAATGGTGATGCTTCTCTTCGATAATGAGGACTAGCGATTGCTACTACATTGATAGTTGCAAGAGCTAATAAGAGGGTTAACAAGAACTTATAATTCATTTTAAGAGGTTAACTTTTTTTTATTAAATTTCAGTGGAAACAAAATGAAAACTTAAAAAAAATTGGAAGTGAATTAAACGAATATTTATAAGTGCAAATGTACGCATGAGGCTTTTCGCATAACCATAATAGAAAATCCACATTTGTTGCTAGGATTATTAATATTTAGCACACAATTAATATGCACAGCCGAATTGAACATAGATTCTTTATAATTTTACTAGCTCTAGTAAACGAAAGTGCAAACGATTATTTATGCGTAAGAAAAAAATGTATTAAGCTTTTTATTTAACAATAAGCCCTGCAGAAAAAATTTATAATTATTTATGCATATAACTAAAAAATATTTTTGGTAATCAAATATTTTAGCGCGTTTCTGTTATCAGGCTTTTAATTGGCTACCCATGAGCATTAGGTAGGGATGTTAACGGCTGGCTTAGATCAGTTTGACTCAAAAAGCCATAGCTCAAAACTCAACCATGGCTTTATAACTATGTTTAAGCCATGGTTTAAGCTGGTTATAATTTCAATACATAAATTTAAAAAAAAAAATAAAAAATAAATAAGTTTTAATCTTTAAACCAAAATTTTATAGATTCTAACTCAACTTGTGCTACAACTGAATTTTAAACAACTTAATTAAAGAATTCAAATTCTATTTAATAAATGGATTAAAATTATCATTTCATACAGATAATTACATTTAATTACTAAATAAAATATCAAGAACGGGGGTGTTATGTATAATAATACTCTGTAGATGATTTTACGGTGCTTCAACCAACATCTGTACACTATTATTCTAAGTCGATCAAATCAGCCGCTTAGCCAATCGCTTAGCCACTTAGCCGGCTGATTGTTTTGGGTACTCTTATCGTTATGTGAAGAAAATCCCGGGCTGAAGATCACTTCTGACCCTAAAATTTTTGGTTCGAATCCAATAAATCACAGGATATGGTAATATGGTATAATAACACAAAAATGCACGAAATGGAAATAACACATAAGGTAGCGCGAGAACTGTCATGAGAAATCAGGAACGTAAATTTATGAATAAGCGTGTATATAGTCAACTAGATTTTATATCCAATGGCATTTTCTTATACATATTTATAAAAATATTGATTAAAATAACATAGGCTGTTGAAAAAAAGCAACCATTCTATAAACGTAGAAATTTTGATACGATCCAGTCATTATTATTACGTTGCATACTTAGGGAAATGACGTTTATTACATAATTTCTTTTTATTAGAAGGTCTGCCCTTTCTCTCTGGGTAATTGAATTAGCAGTCATTCATAATTTTTTATATAACATATAGATGTGATATGACTGCTAACCTCCCCCTTCCCTCTTAAATTACATAATGAACGGCACTCTCCTTAAATATAGAAAATAATCGGCAAAAGCTATAAATTTTTAATAATTTGTGAGAATTTAAGTTATGCTTTAGAACATTGAATATAATAAGATTGTAATTATCATTTATAATTAATTATTGTCGCAGGTCTTAATGAGATCGGATTAAAATGAAATTTAGGGTTTTTAATTAATTTCCTAAAACCCATTTATACTTGTTATCAATCAATCTATCCGGCTTTGGATGACCTAATTTAACGATCAATCAAAATTTAATTATCAATTTTTCTTTACTGCTCTACAGCATTAAAAATAATAAATCAATAACTATATAATAAAATTAAAATGAGTAAAGAGATATAACTTTTAGTCCAAAATTTTATGCCGCCGCTACGATGTAAGATAAATATATAGGTAATTTGGGATAAATTTCTTATAAATAGATAGGTTTGCATACAAAAAAAAGTTAAACAAAATATATTATTTCATTTAAAATTTAAGCTATAATTGACTAATTACAGTTGTGACACAAATCAAAATGGATCAGGTATAACGAATCTAACAACATTTCTGAAATAGAAAATTGCCTTGTTGACGTATAATCCCTGGACGTAAAACATCTCAAGGTTGAAGTAGGATTGAGACCTGTATCCTATCTCAAAATAACTTCATGAATATATCTGAATTAAACTTAGATACATTATTTTTAATTTAGGTTATTCAACACAGGTCGAACTTTAAAATTTCGACAAGATTTCTGTGAGATATTAGTGGAATATCAGACGTTTATAAAGCTGACATCTACCAGATATTTGGCGAGTATTGCTACCTATCGGATAGATATTGCATCTGATAGGCACATTAGAAATATGACACTTTTTAGTATTGTATTTTTTTTTTTATTAATTTACTTGGCATCAATATTTTATTACTTTCATTACACATATAATATTTTTTTCTTCATCAAACATGATATACACAGGTCAAACAAAAATATACCAGATAACAATTGGGTTCCTAATAGATCTCCTATTTTTAACACATTAGTATGCATGTTTACTGGTAAATAAAACCTAAAAGTATCTGATTTGTCTCTGATTGTAAACAAATCTCTGGTACAAATACAAGACTTTTTAGTAATCTTTAAGATACCTCATCCATAGCCATATTGGTAAGCTGAATTATATTAAATTTAATGTATTATTTATTATTCTCTATTTTGTATGATAACTAGGTGCAAATATAAGATATTTTGATAATCTTAATAATTATATCCAAAGTTCTATCAAATTTGTCTTAGTTCAAACTGGTTGCCTTTAGATCAACCTGGTTGATATATTATTTTTCTCTATGTAGTAAGAAAACAGAAAAAAAATAGGGGAATTTACATATAAAGGCCCGAAAAATGAAAATAATTACAAATAAGGGCCTAAAGTGAAATAATTACATATAAGGGCCCAAATTTTGAAAAATTTTACAATTAAGAGCCAAAATAACTTTGCACTATGATAATAGTGGTTCTTCGAACGCTATATCTGTATGTATGTATTGATCAATACATTTTATACTTACCTTTCGCTTAATGAACTTTCTATTAACCAAGAAACAATTCGACTAGGTTAATTACGATATATATTGTTATTGTAATGTTTATTCGGTTTTAAACTAATATGTTTATCTACTGCTATACCAAACTAGTGAATCAATATTTTGTGAACATTAATCGAAGATATTTAGAACCGAAGAGGCTCATTTTTATTCATAGAGAAAGTTAAATTACTTTTAAAAGTGACAGTTACTTTTATATATAAAAATTTGAATATTTTATTGACATTCGTGATAAAACTTACAAGACTTTCTTCTTACTAATAATAAATTTTAATCAATGAAATTTAGCAACAAATCAATAAAACTTCGTAAATCTTATCTTTACATAAAGCGCTTTTCATACCGATACTTATAGTTTATATTATTAAACTAGCTTAAAAGCTTAAATATAAAAGGATGATATGATGGTATCCTGAAAAGTGCATAAACACTACAAGAGTTGTAAACTAGGTTTGTTAACTAGAATGGACCATGAGTTAAGCTTTAGCAGATTTTACTTCCAAAATAAATACTGTAATACTATAGTTAAACAATGTACTACTTGGGATGTACGTAAATTTGCAAGCACATATTAATAAATCAAGTTAGAAAAATTTAATTATAATTTATTTTGTATAGATTGTTTATTTTATTGCTTTACAATAAATTTATACGTAGTTAAAATTTAATATATAACATTTAAAGCAATATCTTAATACGTAAAAATAAAAATAAAGAATTATGGGCAAAACTAAAACCAACTGAAGTAAAATTTAAAACCTCTATTTGAAAACTATTTATACTTTTTTAGTAATAATTTTAACCCTAAATTCTAATTTAACTAAAAAAAGTTTAATTTATAATAAATAATATAATCTTTAGATTTAGCCAATTTAATTTCATCTCACAATAATTAACAATAAATATATACCTTAAGGATCATGATACTCGTCAGCAAAAATATCAACAGGTTCAGTTGCTAAAGACAATTCTAATTTAAAAATATAAAATAGATTTTAATAATTTATAGTATATTTTATTTTTAAATAGTTTTTAACAATACCTTTAATTGCACTTGATATTTGTTTCGTACTAATAATTTTACTAGTGTACATGTGATCAGGATGATTTTGAGAAATTATCTGTAATGTTTTAACGATTTCATCAGCATTTAAGAACTGCATTTTGATTTCATTTTCATAATCTGAAGATAACTCTGAAATCCAAGAATTAATTTCACGACAAATATAATAAGCACTAGGTCGCTCTTGTGGATCTGAATTCATGCATTTATTTGCTAATTCGACATAGCAATCGGGAGTTCCAGGAGCAAACTTTGGTCGTAATCCTTTGCAAATTTTGACTGCAAGTTTTGTATCGAATTCATGACCATCAAAAGGTCTTTGACCAGTTGTTATTTCAGCCATAATAACACCAAAACCATAGATATCCGCTGCTTTTGTAACCTGTTTTTCGCCTGATAAAACTTCCGGAGCAACATAAGGCATAACTCCATAAATATCACCTTCTACACTATTTTCATCTACTTTTTTAGATAATCCTAGATCCGAGACATAGGAAGTACCTTTATCGTGAAGAATGTTACCACTATGAAAGTCAGCATGAATATATCCCACGATATGAATTTGATTTAGGTCTTTGGATATATCTCTGAGTTGTTTTAATTTAAGTTCCCATGTAAGTCTGTTAAAATTTGATCGTAAAAATTTACGAATATTTCCATCATTAGCATACTGAAATACCATTAAGTATTCATTAGTTTTTGAGTTATGAGTTAAACCATATATCTTAAGTTCACTACCAAAGATTATACATATCATGTGGTTTTTAAACTTAGATTATATAAAGGCATGATTAATACAATGGGATATTACGGATATTACATAAGTTATAAATACAATTTTGACTACCTCGCTTAAAAAATCAAATAAATTTTTTGTCTTTGAACCAGATAAGGTCTTGAGTGCAACGATGCTGTTCTGTTCACGTGATTTTTTATAAATGTAGTTTTCATCATCACTGCTGTCGTCTT